GGAAGAACTTAATACATGGAGAGATTTCCATGTTCATGGATAGGAAGACCTAGTATTGTCAAGATGTCAGTTTTTCCCCAGTTGATCTGTAGATTCACTGCAATCCCAACAAACTGATCCTGAAGTTTGGAGAGGCAGAAGACCTAGCAGAGCTAACACAATATTGAAGGAAAATAACAAAGTTAAAGTACTAATACTAACTGACTTCAAGACTTAGTATAAAGTGACAGTAATCACGACAGTGTAGTATTGGCAAAAGAATGTACAAATTGATCAGTGGAACAGGACAGAGAACCCAGTAACAGCCCCACTTAAATGAAGTTAACTGATCTTTGACAAAGGAGCAAAGGCAACACAATGAAGTAAAGATAGTCTTCTCAACAAATGGTGCTGTAAAAACTAGACTTCTGAAAAATGAATCTATAAATGGACTTTATATTCTTCACAAAAATTAACTCAAAATAGACCACAGATCTAAATGTAAAATACAAAACTATAAAATTCCTAGGTGATAACATGGGAGAAAATCTAGATGACCTTGGATTTTGTGATAACTTTTTAGATGTAACACCAAAGGCACATCCATGAAAGAAAGAATTGATAAGCTGGACTTCATTAAAATTAAAAATTTCTTTGCTGCAAAAGACACGTCAGCAGAATGAAAAGACGGTCTCAGACTGGGAGGAAATATTTGCAAAAGACACAGCTTGATAAAGGACTGTTATCCAAAATATACAAAGAACTCAACAGTAGTAAACCATCAGATTAAAAAATGGACCAAAGATGTTAACAGACACCTCGCTGAAAAAGATACACAAATGGCTTATGAAAAGATGCTCCACATCACATGTCATCAGGGAAATGCAACTTAAAACAATAATGAGATACTACTGCACATCTATTAGAATGGCCAAAATTCGGAACACTGACAGCACCAAATGCTGGTGAACATAGGTGGTTTAAGAACTCATTGTTGGTGAGAATGCAAAATGGTACAGTCATTTTAGAAGATTGTTTAGTGGTGTCTCTTACAACTAAACATACTCTTACCATCCTCTCCAGCAGTAATGCTCCTTGGTATTTACTCAAAGGAGTTGAAAACTTAGGTCCACACAGAAACCTGTACACAGCTATTTGTAGCAGCTTTATTCAAAATTGCCAGAACTTGGAAGCAACCAAGATGTTGTTCAGTATGTGAATGGATAAATAAACTGTGGTACATCTAGACAGTGGACAAAATGAGTGATCTTGTTATGAAAAGACATGGAAGACATGGAAGAACCTTAAATGCATAATATTAAGTGAAAGAAGCCAATGTGGAAAGGCTGTGTGCTGCATGATTCCAACTGTTTAACATTCTGGAAAAGGCAAAATTTTTTGCAAGGCAGCCCTTGTCACTGCTAGACAGCTCTCATTCCTGGGCAGGTCTTTACATTGTGCCAAAACCTTCATGAAACTTCCACCCAACAGTCCCAGTTATGGCCTCTAGAACTACTGATGTCATGGTTTGAACAGAAGATAGCTGATGTATTCTCATATAGGTCTTCTTTTCTGTCACCTAAATGCCTTGTTTCCTGAAATTCCCCCATTGCAGGTTTTCACATTTCTTGATTACCCTTCTTTTAGTGTTCTCTCGCTGCCACTGACTCCTTTGAAAGAAAGGTGTCTGAAAATCCCTATATGCCTACAGCATCAGAGCTTTTTGGTGAATGAATCTATGACAGTTTATTTATCCAGTGCCCTGTTGATAAACTATTAGTTTGTTTCCAGTCTTCTGCTATTGTGATGCAAAGAAAAATGCTGATGCATTTTATAAATAGCTATATAATAACTTCCTAGAAAAGGAACAGTGAGGTAGGAGATTATGCATATCTGAAATTTTATTAAATTTTGACAAATTGCTTTTTTAGAGTTTGTTCCATGTTACCTTCTCACCAGAAGTCTGTGTGAGAATGCCTCCTTTCCCACACGGTCTCCAACACAGTGTGATATTCTAACATTTGTATCTTTTTGAATCTGGCAAGTGAATAGTGGCATCTCATTTCGATTTGAATTTGGATTTCTCTTCATTTTGAGAGAAGTTGAGTAACTTTTCATGTTTCTAAGAATCCCCCTTTCTTTTTTCTGGAAGCTTTGCAGATCTTTTATCTTTAGTGTTCTGAAAACACATTCTTTCATCCTAGTGTGGGGATTTATGGTCATTGATTGTGCTGGGTACTTGAGTGTGTGCCCTTTTGGTCTGAAAACCTGTGTCCTTTGGGTCTAGAAAATTCATCCTGTATTGTTTATATTTCCTCCTTTTTGTTTTCTCTGTTACTGTCTCTGACACTCCTTTCTTTTCATCTCTTTATTGACTTTTTTTTTGAGGTGTTTGGTGATTTATCTTCTTACTCTTTTATTTACTTTTAAAGAAATTGTAATGGTGGATACATGTCTTTATACATTTGTCAAACGCATAGAATGTACACCACCAAGAGCAAATCCTAATATAAACTATGGACTTCGAATGATAATGATGTCAGTGTAGATTTATCACTTGTAACAAATTTGCCACTCTGGTGGAGGATGTTTATCATGGGGGAGTCTGTGCCATGTGTGGGGGGCAGAGGATATGTGGAATATGTCTGTACTTTCTGCTTAGTGTTCCTGTGAGCTTAGAACTGCTTTAAAAAAGTCTATTTTATTTTTTATTTTTTACTTTTGAGACAGAGTCTCACTCTATTGCCCAGGCTGGAGTGCAGTGGAGCAGTCACAGCTCACTGCAGCCTCAACCTCTGAGGCTCAAGCAGTCCTCCAATCTCGGCCTCTCCTGAGTAGCTGAGACTGCTCATTTTTTTGAGACAGAGTCTCACTCTGTTGCCCAGGCTGGAACTCAGTGGTGTGATGACAGCTCACTGAAGCCTCAACTTCCCAGACTCAAGCAGTCCTCCAACCTCAGCCTCCCGAGTAGCTGAGACTACAGGTGTGCCCCACCGTGCCCAGCTATTTGTTTTGGTAGAGACAGGGTTTTGCCGTGTCGTCCAGGCTGGTCTCAAACTCCCGGGCTGAAGCAATCTGCCTGCCTTGGCCTCCTAAAGTGCTGGGATTGTAGCCGTGAGCCACTGCAACCTGCCAAAAAAAAAATCTGTTTTAAAGGAAAAAAAAAAAAAAAGACCATCATATTTTTGATTTCCAAACCACATATTTTTCTCTGATTTGCTCTTTTCCTAACTATCCTATTTTGTTTTTTGGTCTCATGGATATATCATCTTAAATGTCTCTGCAAAAGCTCTTTATGATTCCTGAAATACCTATTTCATGTATTGTCATTTTGCTGTTTATCTTAGTCTTGTAGGCTACCAGGGGAGCAACATAAAGCTGATTTAGAGCTCTGGGTAAGTAGGGCAGGTCTGTCAACCAGTGCACTGTTTAGCTTGAGCTGACAGGGAGCCAGCTGTTACATTGGGGAACCCCTAAGTCCTACCAAGTGAAAGTTTTTGTTCTAGGGCACCAGTGTTCACCGTATCTGTTCTAGTTCTAATTTGTTTAGTTTCTCTCTGATCTTTTGTCTGGGAAGAGTTGAGAGTCCACATTTGGCTGCTAGGCATTCTGTATTAGGGTAGAGGGATTTTGAAGGAAGGTGTCAACTAATCTCTGCAGGACTTTAAATCAGTCCGCTTGTTTTTAGCTTTGTGTCTCAGTCCCACGCCGGCAGAGCCAGGTGTTACCCACTTGGGAGCCTCCTGGTGCTCCACAAGGCATATTGGCCCGTCCACACTGCAGTCTCACCTGTGCTACTTGGGGCAGCTCTCTCTGCCACATGTTACTTACTTTCGCCCTGAAACTCTCTCATCCATCCGTTTTCCCTTCCTGTACTCTATACAACTGTAGATTCATATCTTCATATGCCTTGTAACATTTTCATGTGGTCTCAAAAGGAAGAGAATCACATGTGATCTGTTATCCTCTCTATCCAGAATATCTTGTTTCTTCAACCTGTGTTTTCCACTTGCATCTTTGTTCTGCTTTGAATCTATCTTCAACTCCTTAATTTATGTATAATAGTAATTGATTTTGGCATGGGCAGTTAGCATTACACCTTTTGTACACCCATAAGGAGTGACCTGACCAAGGGCTCAGAGCTAATAAGTAGCAGAACAAATAACCCTCTGAGTCTTTAGATTTCCATTATATTGTAGTATTTCCTCATATCCATTTATTTTGTCTTTTTGAAGTTCTTTGAATTATTCCGGTATTTGTTCTGATTAAAGATTTCTTTCACCTCCTAGTTTATTCTTATTAGTTTGAAGTTTATCCTTGAGCCTTGTCAATCACACTTTGGCAGAATAAACATTTTACATAGTTTAATTAGTTGTTGAATAATATTTTTGATGTTTCTGACAAATCTGCCCTAGTGAGCTCAGTGGTTGCAGCTTGAAGCCAACCGTAGTGACAGTGAATAGTGACATATTATTTGCCACAGTCATTTTTGGTTCGCTTTGTTGTTTTCTATTTTGTTCTGTTTTTATTTTGGTGCTAAACCAAAAAGAAGATTGGAATCAGGATCTAAATTCACCAAGTATTTAGGTTTTCTGTACACAGATTTTAGTGATGACTAAGGAAGTTTTTAAAAATGGGTATCTTTAAAAGAAATTTGAAATAATTCCTTACTAACCTGATCCTTTTTAGTTGCTAAGATTATATTTCACAAGGTATGTGGTGGTTTGGTGGTTAAATTTTCATTTCAAAGTGGTGATAGTTGCAAATATTCTGAAACAGACTAATTATAATTACTTTCATTCAAATACTGAATATGAAAGTATATAATCATTTGTATATATTTGTAATATAATTATTTGTATGTGGTAAGAAAGACTACTGTGTATTTTTCTGACAACATTTAATGGTAGTTATGATATTTCCATTTCTTTGGACTTGTTCACAGAAATATAATTATGGTTACTTAAGAAAACATGTCCTAGATAAACGTAAAGATTATATCCCATCTTTTTTAAAAATAGGAGCAGATGTCTCAAGTATTAGATGCCATGTTTGAAAAATTGGTCAAAGATGGGGAGCATGTAATTGATCAAGGTGACGATGGTGACAACTTTTATGTAATTGATAGGTAAGTTTTGTCCAGCCTTACTATTGAAATTTAAAGAACCTTTTGTGTAAAATCTCAACCATTATTATGGCAACTGACAGGTTAATACAGGATACTTGTTATTGCCACTACTCTAATTACTACATAGTAGGCACTGTAAACCTGTTGTGAGTACATGCAGTGAAGCCACAGTGGATCATGAAAAGAGGCATAGGTTATAGAGGAACTGATGACTTTTGGTTAGTCTAATCTGTAAATGTCAGTCATTTAACGTGAGCATCTTCATTTGCCAAATTCTAATTGAGAGATGTGTGATGGCATTAATATGTACTAGATGCCTATTACAGTAAGAACAGCAGTATAATATGGCATCTAAGATGTTAATTCACAGTAGACTTCAATTGGTATTTCTTAAAAGTTTTTTTTTTTTAAACTATGTAAAACATGCTCATGGTTTAAAAAATTCAGAATTGGCTGGGTGCAGTGGCTCACGCCTGTAATCTCAGAACTTTGGGAGGATGAGACCGGTGGATCACTTGAGGTCAGGAGTTCAAGACTAGCCTGATCAACGTGGTGAAACCCCGTCTCTACTAAATACAAGAAAAATTAGCCCGGTATGGTGGTATACACCTGTAATCCCGGCTACTTGGGAGGCTGAGTGAGGCAGGAGAATTGCTTGAACCCGGGAGGTGGAGGTTGCAGTGAGCCGAGATTGCGCCATTTGCACTACAGTCTGGGCAACAAGAGTGAAACTCCGTCTCAAATAATAAATAAATAGATAAATAAATAAAAATAGAAAATGCAAATATTTCACAGGGGAATAAAAGGTGAAAAGTAAGTCTATCTTCCTGCTGCTTCAACAGCATCCAGTCTGTATAGTGAGTAGTTTGTGCATCCTTCCAAGAATTGTATATTATTATATTTGTCTTTAAAAACTCTATAATTATTTAAAGAAGTCTTACATTTATGTTGAAAATCTGTTTTCAGGAAATTTAAGTTGTGCTTTACCTCATCATAGAACAATGTGCCTTATGCAATAGATGAATCCTAAAATCTAACAGCAGAGCAGCCTGAGCTGACTCCTTATTTCTTCACTTTTGTAAAACAATAATGAGTGTTCGCATCCCTGACCTCTCCCCTTCTGTGTGGAACGCAGGTCCTCTCCCAGCCCGACTCACTGGATTATGTTTTCTCTCTGGGTCGAGTTGTGTTCACCTCAGAGGTCTTGGTGAAAATGACCCCTTTGGTCTCCTGAAGCCTCATTTCATTATTTTGGCTCTGTGGGTGGTATCTCTCATGCATCAGTCACTCATGCTCTTTAAATCAAGAGTTTTCACTGATTGTCCCATTCCCTCATCCCTAATGCCTGGTGACCTATGACTGAAGCATTAGCCAAGATTTTAGAGTAGAATAAACCAGTTATCTATATGTGAATCAAAATAATGATTTTTATATCATTAATAGCTTTCATCGGTGCAACACCTCAGAAATGCACCTAAGTGTGTTTGATTGTAGAAGTGTATGAGAAACCCTAACCCTCTACGATCTTAATCATTTAGTGGGGATCTTTGACTTTCAAAACTACCTTACACTTGTATGTAGTCTGTTCCCTTTTCAGTTAGATCCTAGTCACCCATTTGATAGATGAAAACATGCAGGCACACAGAAGTGACAGCACTTGGTTCAGATCACCCAAATGACTGGCATAGAGCCAACTCCACAGCCAGGTCTCTTGCCCTGTTCATTCTCTTTCTGGGGCTCTGCCCTGCCTGAGGCCTCACATTATCAGAGAAGAAATCTGTGTGAAAAAAACAGCCCAAGGGTTTTTTTTTTTTTTTTTTGAGACACAGTCTTGCTCTGTCGCCCAGGCTAGAGTGCAGTGGTGTGACCTCGGCCCACTGCAACCTCTGCTTCCCAGTTTCAAGCGATTCTCATGCCTCAGCCTGCAGAGTAGCTGGGACTACAGGTGCCTGCCACCACACCCAGCTAATTTTTGTATTTTCAGTAGAGACGAGGTATCACCATGTTGGCCGGGCTGGTCTCGAACTCCTGACCTCAGGTGATCCGCCTGCCTTGGTCTCCCAAAGTGGTGGGATTACAGGTGTAAGTCAGTGTGCCCGGCCTAGCCTGCGGTATTTTAACAGACTTTAGACTGATGTGATTTCAACTGTACTGGTAGCTCATTTTACTTTTCCTCAGCACATTTTGCTGTGTTTTACCCTATTCAAAGTAGTGAGTGTAGAGAACAGTTTCAGTGCAAAAGTGTAAATAGTTTAGTAAATTGAGGAGTTTAATCTATAGCATTGCTAGTCTGAAGATCTGAAATGCTCCAAACTCCAAAGCATTTTGAGCGCCAACATGATGGCACAAGTGGAAATTCCACACCTGACCTCATGTGATGGTTCACAGTCAAAATGCAGGCACACAACAGCTTGTTCAGCATCCCCGAAGGGGTTAGTGTATGACATACAGTAACTTTAATCAGAACACAGCATTGTAGGTGGAGACTGCAGGCCTGCCATTGTTTGTGGTTGCTCTTGTTTGGCAGCCGGTGCAGGTACTCTGGGGATGCTGCTGTGCTGCTTAGTTACCCCAAACACATTATTTTTTATTGTATTAATGGTATGTCATATTTTTTACTGTTGAGTACTTATGTGTGAATACAAGTAAAAAATGATGGCTTATTGGTAGCATATAAATTGAGAGTCAGGAATGATGCTAATGCTGAACAACCACAGATTGTTCACATGGGTGGCTGAGATAATGACACCTTTGCTTTCTGATGGTTCAGTGTACACAAATTTGGTTTCATGCACAAAATTACTTAAAATATTAAATAAAATTATCCTCAGACTGTATGTATAAGGTATATATGAAACATAAATTAATTTTGTATTTAGACTTAGGTCTCATTCCCAAGATAACCTCATTCTGTATATACAAATATTCTAAAATCTGAAAATGTCTAAAATCTATAACACTTCTGATTCTAAAAATTTTGGATGAGGGAAACTCAACCTGTACTTGAAAAATGATTATCCATGGGACAAATTCTAGTAGTTTCCCTCGAAACAGTCATTCTATCCATGAATTACATTGAAAACCAATTCTTTTCCCTTTTTTTTGAAATGGAATCTGCTCTGTTGCCCAGGCTGAAGTGCAGTGGCGCGGTCTCGGCTCACTGCAACCTCTGCCCTCCTGGGTTCAAGCGATTCTCCTGCCTCAGCCTCCCAGGTAGCTGGGATTACAGGTGGCTGCCACCACGCCTGGCTAGTTTTTTTGTATTTTTAGTAGAGGTGGGGTTTTACCATGTTGGCCAGGCTGGTCTCAAACTCCAGATCTTGTAATCTGCCCACCTCAGCCTCCCAAAGTGCTGAGATTACAGGCGTGAGCCACTGTGGTCTGGCTGCGAAACCAATTATTTTCTTCCTTAGTAATAGTATCTATTGTCTATCATGTTTCTGCTCTTATTGCTTCTTTATTATTAATAATCCTTTTCTTTCTTTTTTGGAGGGACAGGGAGAATGTCTCACTTTCTTGCCTAGGCTGGAGTGTAGTGGTGCAGTCACAGCTCACTGCAGCCTTGAACTCCTGGGCCTAAGCAATCCTCTTGCTTCAGCCTTCCAAGTAGCTAGGAGTACAGGCATGTGCCACCATGCTTGACTAATTTTTCAGTTTTTTGTAGAGACAGAGTCTTGCTATGTTGCCCAGGCTGGTCTTGAACTCCTGGCTTCAAATGATCCTCCCATCTTGGCCTCCCAAAGCATTGGAATTAGAGGCATGAGGTACCAGGCCTGGGCATAATAATTTTCTAATGTTAAAAGCCACTTTTTTTTTTTTTTTTTTTTTTTAGCAGCACAGCCCCACCCTTTGTCTTTGTTAGGGTTTAGTCAACAGAATATAAGCCAAAGAATTTTTTCTGTCTGCCCTCATAGGTGCAAGCCTTGAAAGCATGTTCTCTGATAAAATACAGTATGTGGAAAGTCAGTCATCCACACGAAGAATGCAGTTTACGTGAATATAGGGTCTGGGTAATATGAAGTGCAGTGACATGCAAACTGAACCTTATTTGCCTAGAAAAAGAACCCCAGTTAAAAGATAAGCACCAAAAAAACTGTGAAAAGACCAGAGTTAGATATCTAGTCTGAATTTCTACTTTTTAACTTTAGAATGGGGGTTGATCTAAAGTAAAGGGCCAGAGAGTAAATACTTTTGGCGTTGCAGGCCGCTATGTTCTCTGTTGCAACAACTCAGCTCTGCAGTTGTAGCATAAAACCAGCCATAGATAACACATAAACAAACAGTGTTTATAATTGCAGTGAAACTTTATTTACAAAAGCAGCCAGTTTGTGGGCTATAGTTTGCCAACCTCTGCCATAGATTATAAAGGACACTAGTAAGTTTTGTAGAGTAGTGGCTAACCAAATTGCTATAGCTAGATTCTTCTTAAAAAGTTACTTTTTTCTGATCACAAAAGTAATAATATGTTCATGTTACAAACAGAAACTCTTAAATAGCCAATGTGCCTAGAATCCCTCACTATTCTTGTGCTCTTAGATAACTATAGTCAGTGGTTTGATAAATGTTTCTTCAGATGATTTTCTTTCATTTTTTAAGGCTAATTTTTTTGTAGAGATCGAATCTTGCTATGTTGCCCAGGCTAGTCTTGAACTCCTGGGCTAAAGTGATCCTCCCACCTTGGAATTCCAAATTGCTGGAATTACAGGTGTAAGTAAGCCATCACACCCAGCGCCTTCAGATGATTTTTTTTTTTTTTTTTTGAAATGGAGTTTCACTCTTGACGCCCAGGCCGAAATGCTCACTGAAACCTCCGCCTCCCGGGTTCAAGCGATTCTCCTGCGTCAGCCTCCCGAGTAGCTGGGATTATGGGATCCCACCATCACGCCTGGCTAATATTTTATATTTTCAGTAGAGACAGGGTTTCACCATGTTGGCCAGGCTGGTCTCAAACTCCTAACCTCAGGTGATCCGCCCGCCTCGGCCCCCCAAAGTGCTGTGATTACAGGTGTGAGGCCTGGCCTCTCCAGGTGGTTTTTTATGCATATACTATTTGGTTATAGTCTTTAGTTATAGTTTTATCATTTGTTATTCCAAATTTTTATTGGTTAGTTCCATTTTTCCCAGCAGGCACATGGTCTGGAACAGATGGCACAGATGGATTCCCCTTTATTACTTGTCATCGGAGGGGATAAACAGGCTGGAAATATGATTTTATTTCACAGGGCTCTTTTCTGAAATAATGTTTTATTTTAATGAGATTTTATTTGAATTAACCTCCAATCTACATATGTCCAATAGAGGCACATATGATATTTATGTGAAATGTGATGGTGTTGGAAGATGTGTTGGTAACTATGATAATCGTGGGAGTTTCGGCGAACTGGCCTTAATGTACAATACACCCAGAGCAGCTACAATCACTGCTACCTCTCCTGGTGCTCTGTGGGGTTTGGTGAGTAAAATATTTATTTGACCTGAATGTTATGATTTGTAGCAATTGCTATGACAGTGTTACACATTGCCACATGTAGTATTTTAATTTAAAGATCATCAGTCATCAGGTAATTTATTAAGCAGCCACTGAATGCTGAACTGTAGGGCACTAAGACTGCACTCAGATCCTCATGTCATTGCCCCCACTCCTCCAGTCCAGTCAGGATCTTAGGACCTGGTGGCCCAGGAAAGACACTCAGAGTCAGAATGCTCCTGTCTTACCCACTCTTAGAAAATAACGAGCCATACAAACACAACCTTCAGTACTTTTCCTCAGATAGCTTTCTGAAGTAAGTATTATAATCTGATAAATTGGTGGCTCCCAGAGTGTGGTCCCGTGAACACTGGCAGCTGTATCACTTGGAAACTTTTTAGAAATGCCCATTCTGGGGCCCCACCCACTGATTCTGACCTACTGCATCAGAAATTTGGAGTTTGAGAAACCAGTATAAAAGGATGCTCTTGTTGATATAAATTGATTGGTGACTGCTCTGCATTTAAAAGCAGATGTGTAGGGAAAAAATGCTTGGTCGCTGTGCTGATGTGCCCCACATCAGAATTACCTGGAGTATTTTTTAAAAATCCTTTTACCTAGATCCCACCACAGGCAAATTTATCAGAATCTTCAGCACTGGGACTTGGGCATTAGTACTTTTAAATATATTTCTTAATGTGGTATTCCTGCAAGACTTAAAAGCTGTTTTAAAGATATATTCGGGCAGTATTTTCACATATGATAGGATGCAAATTATTAGGCACTACTAAAGCTGCTTCTGGAAGATTGTATTTAAGGTAGTGATTCTCAAACTTTAATGTGCTTCCAAATCACCTGGGAATCCAGTTAAAATGTGGATTCTGATTCAGTGGTTCTGGGGTGAGGCCTGTGATTTTTGCATTTCTCATCAGCTCCCAGGAGGTGGCAGTACTGCCTGATGTCAGGCCAAACTTTAAACAGCATCGATTTAGGGAAATGTTTACAATATATGTATTTTCTTTTAAAATTGTTGAAAATAGCTCACCCACTAGTTTTGACATGCATTTATTTGGTTATTTCTCTCAAATCCTTTTGTGGAAAGAGAAGAGGTTGAAGTAAATGTGAAGTTTGTTAACAGTCTCATTTCCAAGGACGACTGTATATAGCATTACAGAAGTCACACATTATTTAGTCACAGTTCAGCGTTTGACTCTGAAGTCGATTCAGCTGATAAAAATATCTCTTGATCAAAGAGACAAGACATTTTACATTTCTTTTAATTAGAACCAGTTATTATATACTTATTTAAAAATGTGATGAGTCACTTTTTTAAGGTTTAAAAGAAAAGCTGAGTTGTCTCAGGGAGAAGGAAACTCATCATCTGAAGTGTTTTAAGAACTGTCAGCGATTTGAATACCCAGAACCAGCAAAGAAAAAACTCCAAACCAGAACAGTCCTTCACCCACAGAAGTGTTTGTTTGCCTGTCATTAAAGCGGTGGGATAAATCTAGCATCTGCCATGACCTGTTTTATTGAGGAAGGTTTACTTTTCAAACGTAGTCATTCCAGTGGGGTTGCCATTCAGATTCAGATTGTCACACAGTGAGGAAATTGCCTCCTTGCACATCTTCAGAATAAGATCAACGATTTTATAGGTTGGCCTCTTTGAATACTGATAGTTTTTACCCCTTGTAGAAACCTTAATTGGGTATAAAAGACCCAGAATTTCCTAGTCCACATACTACTTAAGTTCCTAAGAAGGATTAAGCATTTTCAGAGATTTTTAGTTGTCTATACATGTTACTAAATTTTATAAAAGTGGGCAGTTTGTCATGATCCTCCTGATGTATAATAGCTTTCTAAAAATGTTAGGATAATTAACATAATTACTTAGTATTTCAAGCCTGCTTTTTAAGGGCGACTTGACTATAATAACTCCTTCTCAGGGAGAGTCGAGTAGAAAAGAAATTTTTCTTTTAAGGTCAACAGACTGGAGGTCTGCCTTATAAATATAAGTGTAAAGATAAGCAAAAAAAGCCCAAGAGAAAAGTCCATTGCAGTATAGCCTCACTCTGTAAATAATATTTGGTCACTGTTAGCCTTAGGGGTAACATGATCTATGTGACTGTACTGATGATTTGGAAAGGGGATTGTTGAAATGGCTTCAGGATGAAAGTATTTGAAATTCTGGACTTTATATGTCACACTGGGTGTGAAGAGATAGGTTACTAATGGTAAATTCTTTCTGAGAGATATAACTGATTATGATTAGTTTCTAAACCATTAAGCTATTTTGAGTCTTCTCTGTTTTGCAATAAACTCTGTCCATAAAAATGGTGTTATACCTGATTTCCAAACCCGATTATATATCAGAATCACTTTGGGAGCATTTATGAAATATACATTATTGAGCCCTACATGCAGAGATCTTGAGTCATTCAAGTCTGGTGTCTCAGAAATCTTTTTTAGTACTCTAGCTTATTCTGATGCAGAGCCAGGCTTGGAAATAATTTCAATATTTGTGCTAATTACTGTAAAATTTTCTTTTAAAAAAAGTATTAGGAGTAAAACAAGTCCAAATTACAGCCAATACCAAATTGGGAAACAAGATGTTTAATTTACTAGTGTCCTAGTCCTTTTGGGCCGCTGTGACAAACTGTTACAGAATGGGAGGCTTAAGCAACAAACATTTATTTCTCATCGTCTGGACACTGGGAAGTCCAAGATCAAGGCACCAGAAGATTCGGGTCTGGGGAGGGCTTGTTTTCCTGTTTAACAGACAACATCTTCTTCTTGTGTTCTCACGTGGTGGAAGGGGCAAGGGAGCTCATTAGAATCTCTTTTATAAGGACATTAATCCGATTCATGAGTGCTCCACCCTCATGACCTAACCATCTCCCAAAGACTCCACCACCTAATACTATCCTGGATGATCAGGATTTCAACAGAGGGATTTTAGAATGATAGAAACATTGAGTTGCAGCCCATCGCACCTAGAGACTTTCATCTATACTGGCCTTTTTCTCTATTGCACTAGTTTGTTTAAATTCAGCCTTACTATGGTGGCATAAGAAAGAATGAATAAGACCTAGTATTTGGTAGCACATAATAAAATTGTATATTTTTAAAATAAGTGTAATTGGATTGTTTGTAACTCAAAGGATAAATGCTTGAGTGGGCGGATACCCCATTCTCTATGATGTGCGTATTTCATGTTGCATGCCTGTATCAAAACATCTCATGTACCCCATAAATATACACCTACTATGTACCCACAAAAATTAAAAATAAAAGTAAAAAATATTAAATTGTTTGCATAGTAATTTATTAAATAATATATCCCAATTTTTACTTTATTAAAATGGTATAATTGTTTATTAATGAATGCCACGCTAACATAATTATTATTTTATTAAAGAATTAAAATATTTTATGAGAGATTATTTAAAATAAAATTTTTAGGAAAATAATTTTTTGAGCTTGTATCCTTAAAATTTGTACTAGTTCTTCAACCGAGTTCTGCATTTTTGAGGGCATGTAGTATAAACATAAACAGGAACATTTTAGACTATGAACATGGTAAACACTGGAATTAGATCTTACTCAAAAACATAGTTGTAATTTCTCTGTGCCTTCACATTAAAAAAAATTTTTTATGGGTACATAGTATGTGTATGTGTGCTATTTTGATAACAGCATAATGCATAATGATGACATCAGGGTAAATGGAGTAGCCATCACTTTAAGCATTTATCATTTCTTTGGGCATATCTCCACATTTTTAAAAAGAAAATTTTGACATAATGTGGATATGAAAAAGAACATAGAGTGCATAACACAGAGTAAAAGAACACAGTGCTAGTATACATTTTTAAAAATGCTGTGATAGCGCCTCCTTGTGGGCAGAGCCCAACATGTTGGTCAGATTTCTGTTATGCATGAAAGTAAACAGATACCTCCTTAAAAAAAAAAAAAAACAGTATTTTATGTGGTTCTGTATTATATTTTGTGCTTGATGAAAAAAATATGAAATGAGTTGCATTAAAAGTATACTGATGTTAATCTTTTATTTCAGAATCTTCAATCATTGCTTCTTGTAGGGAATAAAATGAAACTATTTGTATAGCTTTTCCCCCATAAAATTTACCTTTTAACTGTCTTTTATTTGATATTCTGCCTGTAGGACAGGGTAACCTTCAGGAGAATAATTGTGAAAAACAATGCCAAAAAGAGGAAAATGTATGAAAGCTTTATTGAGTCACTGCCATTCCTTAAATCTTTGGAGGTAAGTGTATGTTTATGCTTTTATTTTATTTTGCTTTAAAAGTTTCTGTTTTGCTAGGAATATTTAGTTCTATAGAAAAATTTCCTTGAATAAAAAATATTTATCCATGTTTTTATTTGAAAAGATTAAGTGGTAATGCTAGTTTTTATAACTCATTGTTTCTTCTGCTATCTATAATTGCATTTGTTTTGTTATTTGAAAGTTGTTTTGTATAATTGCATTCCTACCCCGCATCTATAGCACATGTATATGTGGTCTTTATCTAATAGCAGACGTTATACAATCACATAGATGTAGGCAAGAGCCACTAGTTGTAACTTTACAGGGAGGCGTTCTCTAGATAGAAGATGTCCTCTCTGGCCTCTTCCTCTCAGTTGTCTTTGCTGTTTATTCCTCTTTTCTTCTCCTCTTAAAACTAGCATTCCAGGCCTCTGTCCTTGGCCTCTTCTCTTTTCAGGATACACTTATTCACTTGGTGAACATGTCAGATCCCATGGCCTTAAATACAGATGTCCCTTGACTTAGGCTGGGGTTACCTTATGAATAAACCTATTGTGAGTTGAAAATATCATAAATAGAAAATGTATTTAATACACGTAAACTACGGAACATTCTAGCTCAGCCTAGCCTACCTGAAATATGCTTAGGACACTCACATCAGCCTATAGTTGGGAACAGTCACCTGGCAGCACAGTGCACTGGAGAGCATGGGTTCATCTCATTGTGGTGAGGCTGGCTGGGTGTTGTGGCTGTCTGCCTGGCATTGTACTGCATATCACCTGGGAGAAGATGGAAACTCAAAATTAGAAGTATAGTTTCTATCACTTTCAAACAACTGGAAGGTTGAAAAATCATTAATTGAGCCATTGTAAGTCAGGGACCATCTGTACTGTCCATATATTGATGCTTCTTAAAATTGGTGTCACTGGGCAAGGCCCTTCCCTTGAAGGTCAGACTTACGTATCCAACTGCAAATACAAGATCCCCTCTCAGATGTCTAATAGACATCTCAGACTGAGTATGTCCGAAATCTACTCCTTTTCTCTCTCCCTGCAGATGGTAACATATCCTTCCAGTGTCTCAGGCCAGAAACCTTCGAGTTAGCACTGACTCATCTGAACCACCATCACCTCTTGCCTGGTTAATTGCAGAATAATCTTCTAAAATCCCTGGTTGTGGCCCTGCTCTGTTTAAGCTCCTCCTCACATGGCCTCTAAGGCTCTGCACAGTCTGTCCCGTTCCCCTGCCCATTTTCCCCAACCTCATTTCCTACTGCTCCACACTCATCATCTCTCTGTAGACACATCAGCTTCTTGCCACTTCTCAAACACACCTGTCCCACACCCACTTCAGGGTCTTCATACTTGCTGTCTGTCTGGAATGCCTTCCTACACGGCCGCAGGGCTCCTTCATTTCTTAGCCCAGATGTCGTCTCAATGAGACCAGCTCTTAGGTTTTTATCTTTGAAGGTAGAGACTTAACGAGAGAGAATAGGTTGTTGTTACTCTAAAATTCAGCTTCATTTTCCATACTTTATCATTAAATTAAATGCTTTTCTATTTCACTGTCATATTTGAAATATTTTGAGAGTAATTAAAGACAGGCATATATATGTACCCACAACGTCTTGTAAAATGGCAAGTGTCAAAACAGCTGTGCTTCTCCTTTTGAATGTCTCTGTTGGATTATCAGCTTACACCTGGTAGAAGTTTTGTCCATATCACGTAGTGCGTGGTAGACAGCTGATCTTTTCCAGCAGCATATTTCTTTAAATAAAAGTAGGTCAGGGATTGGAAATCCAGTGCCTTCAAAGCTAGGCAGGTAACACAGAGAAGAAAACCAAGCCAGGAAGGGACTTTGGCAGATTGGAGAACATGTATTTCATTAAAGAAACAGCTGCTATCCCACCATAATGTTATTGTTGCCATGTGGAAATATGGGTTATGTCATGCTGATTTTTCAAGAGAAGCTGGAGATCCAAATTTTATGAAAAATTTATTTTAAAATGCTGACTGATAATACAACAAACACATAACAACCTACACACTGCTCAATTTATCTGTCCTATAGGCTACCAGTTTTTTACTTCTTAAATAGATCAGCTTACCCAGTTAATTTGTTTCTATTTAATATTGTCTTTCTTTCTTTGTAGTTTTCTGAACGCCTGAAAGTAGTAGATGTCATAGGCACCAAAGTATACAATGATGGAGAACAAATCATTGCTCAGGTATGATATTTTGAAATCTAATTCAGTTTAGGGTTATTTTCCAAAAGGTTTGTGTAGTTGTAGATCTTGATAAACTTTTCATGTTTCTAAAACTAGTATGCAGTGATGATGGGTTAAATAAATATTACTTCTACCAAATGACCTGTTAAAAATGGTTTCATTTATAGTTATTATGCTATTGAATATTTTTATGTAATTAACTCTTAATGAATATGTATTAAACCATCAAATGATTTTCTGCATCATTGTAGTCATTTATAAGAGGAAAAAACAGGTGAATCTTCCTTGAGGACCCAGAAAGTACACTGGAAAATTCTATAGAGTTTTGCGTGATCATTTCATGATGAAACTTCCTGAGGCTGCTCCTTGATAAAAGTCACCAAGAAGGGAACACACTGCAACATATAATGTTTTGGCTTCCAAGCACTACATGTGGGTCAACATGTTATATAATCCCTAATACTTTTCTAAGATCCCAGCTGGAACCAATAATATTAGATACCTGGGTTGGAGTAGGGCTACTAAAAGTAGAATTTGTGAAGACTGTTCATAGGTGAAGCATGCAGATGATAGTACCTTGTTTCCTAGTTATATTTTTGAAGCACTGAGCAAATGATTAAAATGGATTTTTAGTAGATACTGTAATTTTTGTATCACAGCCTTATACTATTTTGTGCTCTTTATCTGAAATGCAGTCTCTTCCTTTATATGGGAAACAAGATTCAAGGTCTTTGAGACTGAGAAAAAGATAACTATTTTAGAAGACAAATGCATAAGTAAATCTTTCAATCAGCACCCCTCTCCCATTGCTGCGTATGTGTGTGTGTTACAGCAGTCAGGGATTGGGAAGAAATGGAGTCAAATAAAGTTAAAGTTCTACTATATAAATTGGTAAATAAAGCATAGAGCATGTTTTAAATGATTTTTAAAGGTTTTTATTTTGAAATAATTATAGATTCACAGGAAGTCGCAAAAATAGTTTTGAGAGGTCCCGTGTACTCTTCACCCAGTTTCTCCTAATGCATCTTGCATCACTATTAATAACAATATCAAAACTAGGAAAATGACATTGGCATAATTCACAGACCGTATTCAGTTTTCATCAGTTCTTAGGGCATGCTTTAAAAATAGTTAAAAATTACTCAGCAGTTAATAGACTTATTATGATTCAGAACACTCAAAAACTTAATATGAAGCTTTTATGAAAACCTGATATAAAAATAAGGGAAAGGACATATGCTATACTTAGGGTTTATTAAGGATATTTTTACATATTTGTTGTCTTTTAAGCATTTATAAATATACATATATACACACTATATTCTAAAAATCTAAATTCGACATTTATTTTTGTGATAGAATCAGATGCTAAACTTCTTGAATTTGTATTAAAGAGTTTTGAAATATTTTAAATTTTCAAAATTTAATTTCTCCAGAATCACTTTGAGAGGCTTAGAAAAGTCAGTGTCTGTATTATTATCTTCCATATTGTATTGTTTAATTCAGACTGCATCACTGGAGGTCTAGGCAGAGTTCATTAAGAAACAGAAACAAGAAAGAACAGATATTTGGGTAGAAATAGCAACACTTCTCTTTTAGAAGTCCTTCCAATGCCTTGAAATGGAATGTCAGTAGGCTAGCATGTCAGAGTTTGGTCCTCAGTTGATTGTAGTGAAAATGTCAAGGCCCACATCTGCTGCTTCCGGCTCCATCTGGGTGCTTTCTGCTCTTTGCAAGTTGACGGGTTATCTTGGGTCACCATGCCAATGCTTGCAATGTTAGGATGACGCAGGGTGCACGTCTTGGCACTTCCTAAGGAGCTCAGGATCCGCAGATATGTTTCTGCCAACTAAGGGGATGCTGCTGGCGTACACAGCAGTGTTGCCATTTCCAACTATGTATGCTGTTATCTAGGCTGAAATTTGGGTGAAATTCTTACCCCAGTGTTATTTGTCACATTTTCTTGGTTTTTAGCAGAAATACGGTGGTAGGGAATATATTATTTCAGGGCCAAGCACAGTGGCTCATGCCTGTAATCCTGGCACTTTGGGAGGCTGAGGCAGGTGGATCACATCGAGGTCAGGAGTTCGAGACCAACCTGACCAACATGGTGAAACCCCATCTCTAATAAAAATACAAAAAAAAAAAAAAAAAAATACGGGTTCTAGATCCCTGAGGAATTGCCACACTGTCCTGCAAATTGGTTGAACCAATCTGCATTCCCACCAACAGTGCAAAAGCGTTCCTACTTCTCCACAGCCTCACCAGCATCTATTGTTGCTTGACTTTTTAATAATTGCCATTCTGACTGGTGTGAGATGGTATCTCATTATGGTTTTGATTTGCATTTCTCTAATGATCAGTGATGTTGAACTTTTTTTCATATGTTTTTTGGCCACATAAATGTCTTCTTTTGAGAAGTGTCTGTTCATATCCTTTGCCCACTTTTTGATGGCAGAAATACCATTTGACCCACAAATCCCATTACTGGGTATATACCCAAAGGAATATAAATCATTGTGCTATAAAGACACATGCACACATATGTTTATTGCAGCACTGTTTACAATAGCAAAGATACGGAACCAACCCAAATGCCCATCAGTGATAGGCTGGATAAAGAAAATGTGGTACATATACACCATGGAATACTGTGCAGCCATAAAAAGGAATGTGATCATGTCCTTTGCAGGGACATGCATGAAAATGGAAGCCATCATTCTCAGCAAACTAACACGGGAATAGAAAACCAAACACTGAATGTTCTCACTCATAGGTGGCAGCTGAGCAATGAGAACACATGGAAACAGGGAGGGGAACATCACACACTGGGGCCTGTCACGGGGTGGGGAGTGAAGGTAGGGAGAGTATTAGGACAGATACCTAATTCATGCGGGGCTGGCCTTAAAACCAAATGACAGGTTGATAGGTACAGCAAACCGCCATGGCACATGTATACCTGTGTAACAGACCTGCATGTTCTGCACATGTATCCCGGAATTTAAAGTAAAATTTTTAAAAAAGGAAAAAAAAATTAGCTGGGATGACAAGGGTGTGGTAGCACACGCTTGTCATCCCAGCTACTTCGGAGGGTGAGGCAGGAGAGTCACCCGAATCCAGGAGGTGGAGGCTGCAGTGAGCTGAGATTACACCACTGCACTCCAGCCTGGGTGACAGAGCAAGACTCCATCTCGGGGGGAAAAAAGTATTATTTCAAATAATTTTACAAATGAAATCATTACTACATAATTGTCCATCAAAACCTCTTGATTTAGGGCCGGGTGCGGTAGCTCACGCCTGTAATCTCAGCACTTTGGGAGGCCGAGGCGGGCAGATCACGAGGTCAAGAGATTGAGACCATCCTGGCTAACACAGTGAAACCCCGTCTCTACTAAAAATACAAATAAAGTAGCCGAATGTGGTGGCGGGTGCCTGTAGTCTCAGCTATTCGGGAGGCTGAGGCAGGAGAATGGTGTGAACCCGAGAGATGGAGCTTGCTTCAGCCTGGGCGACAAAGCGAGACTCTGTGTCAAAAAAAAAACCTCTTGATTTAGAAACTGAGATAGCCTGTTTCCATAGGATTTCACTTTTCAGGTCAATATCTGTACTTTGGCGTTGGATCAATTTTAGTGATATGAAAGGTAACAAGATTGTTGTCAGTTAATTTGCATTTTCACCGTCTATTTTTGTTATTCTGATAGGGAGATTCGGCTGATTCTTTTTTCATTGTAGAATCTGGAGAAGTGAAAATTACTATGAAAAGAAAGGTAAGCATTGTAGGTCCTCAAAGCCTACATACTGTTAGCAAGGAGCACAACAGATTTACTTTTTGATGTTTAGACTGAGGTTAATTTTATTTTTCATAAGCCGAGGAAAAGCTCATCTTTTTAATTGCCTTGTCAGGGTAAATCAGAAGTGGAAGAGAATGGTGCAGTAGAAATCGCTCGATGTTCACGGGGACAGTACTTTGGAGAGCTTGCCCTGGTAACTAACAAACCTCGAGCAGCTTCTGCGCACGCCATCGGGACTGTCAAATGTTTAGGTAGGGATTGCAACAGTGGGCGTGCTTCTCCTGGTTGAACTTGTGTCTGCATTTTATGTATTCATGTTGAATGAATCATTTTATTGGGTTCACAGGTTTTGTGGTCCCCACAAAAGGTAACAAGATTAGGACTTGTTGCCTTACAAAATTAATTTGTGGAAGCCATTTTTTCTTTGAAATTTTTACATCCAGGTACATTTTGCTCGTTTGTGTATATATGAAATAACATCTCATATTTGTCATTAAAATAAGAATTCCAAGTACCACGTTTTATATGGAATCTCTCAAATAAGCAACATGTGCTATGTTCCTCAAAAGAGAAGGCTAAGGTACTATTTTTATAAAGTCCATTATTAAGATCTGCGGGGAATGCTGAGATGCTGGGAGAATCCTTACTCATTAGAGTACTGGGAAACAAAGGTTCACGTTTGTCAAAGCACAGTCAAATGTTCTTTGCTGGTCAGTCGTTATTACTATTTTACCAGAGTAGCTTGGCAGAAATGCCGTCTTCAGGTGCAGACATCTGTATATATCTGAGATTGTATATCTGAGAAATCACTTACTTTGGTAAGAAAATATAGTTCAGGAGGTGGCAATATGGTGAATATTTTAAGAAAATTGATCCCACAGTAATTACCCTCTCTGTGCTTTTCATCCATAATTCAATAGAATAAACTTAGTTTTAATGTTTTCAAGATTTGCAAGGATCCTTAGAATTAACTTCTTAGAGAAGTCATTCTTTAAAAGGTTTTAAATAAGTATAATATTAATCAAGTGTTAAATTTGGACGGAAGAGAAGACAATTAGAAACTGACAGGTAATTTCCCTAAGTAGAGCTATTAGAAAGAGTAAAGGTGAGGTGAGTGAAATTCTGTTAATTTTTTTCAATAATAGATTATTATATTCACATCAAAGAAAACCTGAGATACAGAAAATGTAGGAAAAAACATACCACCGCCACTCAGTGATTTCTGCTATTATAATTTCTTCTTGTCCTTTTTGTGTGGGCTTCCAGTTGTTAAACAGTTTTCCAAACAACTTTTAAAGTTCACTATGCTTAGGAATGTTCTTATTTTGTTACACCAAATTTTAAAATTCTTTTAGGTAAATATATACATGATAAATTAATCATTCCTCACTGGTAAATACTTTGAAGGTTTTGGCTCCAACGTTTTGGTGGGGACCAATTTTTTTGTGCATAGAAGGCTTTTCTGTATTATAGGAGTTTTCCTTAGAAATGATTTTCAGGAGTGGACTTTTAAAAAATTAACTTCTGACACATATTTGCCAGATTACTTTTATTTGTACTAATTTACATGCTACTAGCAGTGCCATAATGCCCATTCACCCTATTCTTGTCAACATTGCCTTTTTTTATCTTTGCTAATTTAAAAGGCGAAGAAGATATATTTTAATTTGTACTTTTATATGTAGAGTATGTCATATTTTCTATCTATATATTACAAATCCAGTTTTAAGATCCAGGAGACAGGCAAGCAAAGTGATATCTAGCATGTACTTATAGAAGTAAACAGAAGCATTATGTCAGCTGCCATTTTTGGATTGCATAGGGATCCAAATTTGTATGGGGAGCAAAAATTACCAAAGTTAACACCTGGCCTTCACAACATGGCATTTTAAACCCTGAGAAGGGAACACAGGATAGAAAACACTCCTGTGCCATCTTTGAGGAGTACACATTGCTAAGGTGGAGACAGCATATTTATTTTTTAAAATTCTAAGGTCTTTCCATGATAGTCCCTCATTCTTTTCTCAGCTTGGACCAGGAACCTCCCACCAACTTAGCATTGCTCATCATATTGCCAAGGGACTGCAGAGTGTGGCCCTGGCTGCGTCCTTTTTCAAGTGGAACATTTTTGTCATTATGCTTTTTCTTGTATTTTATAGTATTTACCTAAAATATCATTGTATTATTGATATATATGGAATGCATTGTATATGACTTAGAAATAATTGTAATGACTTAGAAATTCTGCAGATTTGCAAAGAATGTTCTTAAAAAAAAAAAATCTTCTCTTTTCTTAGCAATGGATGTGCAAGCATTTGAAAGGCTTCTGGGACCCTGCATGGAAATTATGAAAAGGAACATCGCTACCTATGAAGAACAATTAGTTGCCCTGTTTGGAACAAACATGGATATTGTTGAACCCACTGCATGAAGCAAAAGTATGGAGCAAGACCTATAGTGACAAAATTACACAGTAGTGGTTAGTCCACTGAGAATGTGTTTGTGTAGATGCCAAGCATTTTCTGTGATTTCAGGTTTTCTCCTTTTTTTTACATTTACAACGTATCAATAAACAGTAGTGATTTAATAGTCAATAGGCTTTAACATCACTTCCTAAAGAGTAGTTCAGAAAAAAATCAACATACTGATAAAATGACTTTGTATTCCACAAAATTATGACCGAAAGGTTTATTAAAATGATTGTAATATATAGAAAGTATCTGTGTTTAAGAAGATAATTAAAGGATGTTATAGGCTATATGTGTTTTACTTACTCAAACTGAGATATTAGTGACTATCCCCATGTAAGAGGGCACTTGGCAATTAAACATGCTACACAGCATGGCATCACATTTTTTTTTTTTTTTATAACTCGTTATACACAGTAACATTTTAATCATTTTTGTTTTAAAGTTTTCTAGCTTGATAAGTTATGTGCTGGCCTTGGCCTATTGGTGAAATGGTATAAAATATCATATGCAATTTTAAAACTTTTTATATTTTTGCAATAAAGTACATTTTGACTTCGTTGGCATAATGTCAGTAACCTACATATTCCAGTGGGTTTATGGACAGGCAATTTAGTCATTATGATAATAAGGAAAAGAGTCTTTTAGATGAGAGATCATTAATGCATTTTTCCCTCATCAAGCATATATCTGCTTCCTCTTTTTATTTTGCAATTCTCCATATTCTATATCTTTAAAAATTTGGGCCGGGCGCAGTGGCTCACGCCTGTAATCCCAGCACTTTGGGAGGCTGAGGCGGGCGGACCATGAGGTCAGGAGATTGAGACCATCCTGGCTAACACAGTGAAACCCCGTCTCTACTAAAAATACAAAATAATTAGCCAGGCATGGTGGCGGGCGCTTGTAGTCCTAGCTACTCGGGAGACTGAGGCAGGAGAATGGCGTGAACCTGGGAGGCGGAGCTTGCAGTGAGCTGAGATCGCGCCACTGCACTCCAGCCTGGGCGACGGAGTGAGACTCCGTCTCAAAAAAAAAATTTTGATCTTGACATTTAATGTCACAAAGTTTTTTTTAAAAAAGTGATTTAAACTTAAGATCCGACATGTTTTATATTCTTTAAGATCTTACACCTAAAAAATCTCTCCTGTCCTAAAAATAATTTGGGATCCTTATCAGCATGCCCACAGTTTATTTCTTTGTTCTTCACTAGGCCTACACAATACAGTTCTTTGTAGACATCTGTTCCCTTGGGTTTCTGTTCTTCCTTAGGATGGTTGCCAACCCACAGTCTCATTGATCAGCAGCCAATATGGTTTGTTTTTTGTTTTTAATTGTTAGAAACATCCTCTAGAGTAATAGAAACAAATTTTTATGAGCATAACCCTATTTAAAGACAAAATGAATATCTGCCCTTACCAGATATACCATTAGGCCTTGCCATTGCTTTAATGTACACTCATAGTTGAAATTAGTGCAGGATTAACTCAGATGTACTAGATTTTCATTGTTCATTGATATGCTCAGTATGCTGCCAGATAAGATGAATTTAATTATATTCAACCAAAGCAATATACTCTTACATGATTTCTAGGCCCCATGACCCAGTATCTAGAGACATTAATTCTAACCAGTTGTTTGCTTTTAAATGAGTGATTTCATTTTGGGAAACAGGTTTCAAATGAATATATATACATGGGTAAAATTACTCTGTGCTAGTGTAGTCTTATTAGAGAATGTTTATGGTCCCACTTGTATATGAAAATGTGGTTAGAATGTTAATTGGATAATGTATATATAAGAAGTTAAAGTATGTAAAGTATAACTTCAGCCACATTTTTAGAACACTGTTTAACATTTTTGCAAAACCTTCTTGTAGGAAAAGAGAGCTCTCTACAGGAAGATAACTTGTTTTATATTTCAGATTTTATTTTAAAAGCCGTGTCTGTTAAACAAGAAAAAACACAAAAGAACTCCAGATTCCTGGTTCATCATTCTGTATTCTTACTCACTTTTTCAAGTTACCTATTTTGTTGCATAAACTAATTGTTAACTATTCATGGAACAGCAAATGCCTGTTTAATAAAGAACTTTGACCAAGGCTATAAATGCCACTTACATTATTTTCAGTATTGTTGGTTATATTTAAATTTTCCTTATAATAAAGCACACTTTTATAATAAAATACATGAATTATTGTTTTTCATACTTTTTTGCTTGTTTCTTTAAACTTTTCTGACTTGCATAATGCATAATTCATTGAAAAGCATGATAGAAAAGTGGCATGTGGAAGCTAACCCCCAGGGCATAACATAGTAAGAAAGTATGGTTCTGTATGGCAATAGGTTTTTAAAATTATTAGCTATTCGTCATGTGTGGGAGAAATAATTGTGGTGTGTTGCAGATTTATTTGGCCATTTAGAATAACCAAATAAATCTGGCTAACTAGGAATTTGTGTAAAATTATCTAATTAAAACAGCTCAAGTTTGACTTGTGGATGTCATTATTTAATTACTAATCAACACTCCTTACTATGTGAGAATTCTCTGTTGACCATTCAAGGACAGAGCCTCCTGTGTATCATGTGGGGCTAAGGAAAGGGGTGAGGACTTTTTCCCCAAGAGTGACGGTGCTTTCCCTTGTTTTAAATAAAGATGTGTGTGTATGTGTGTTTGTTGTTTTCTGCATATCCATATGAACTAGGGATTAGTGCAGATATTTTAACATATACATTACCTGTGACACAACTTAGGTGAATGTATACGTGTTACCATTAGGATTAGTATTATAAACTCTGGCTAAATGCCATTTAAAATGCTTAAAGAGGCTGGGCACGGTAGCTCATCCCTGTAATCCCAGCACTTTGGGGAGGCTGAGGCAGGAGGATCATGAGGTCAAGAGATCAAGACCATGCTGGCCAATATAGTGAAACCCCATCTTTACTAAAAATACAAAAATTAGCTGGGCGTGGTGGCATGCGCCTGTAGTCCCAGCTACTTGGGAGGCTGAGGCAGGAGAATCGCTTGAACCTGGGAGGCGTAAGTTGGAGTGAGCCGAGATTGTGCCGCTGCATTCCAGCCTGGCGACAGAGCGAGACTCCATCTATAAAGCAAACAAACAAGCTTAAAAATTATTCAAGTGAAATGGCATGAAGCAAGGGACTTTGGATTTTATTGAAACGCAAGATTTAAAAACATGCTGTGTTCTTTCCCTTTCCAAAGCACCTTTAAAGATATTGATAGAATTTTTCCTTTCTCAAAAAGCGTCGTAACAAGGATGAGATGACCTTTGGCATTCTCAAGGAAAATTAATACTGTGTAGGCCTCAAGAGGTGAGTCATATATCTGGATTAAGGCAGAGCTTTGTTAAATTGCTGAACGGGATTCTATTAAAAAAAATTACTACCTAAGAGAAATAGAGTTTATAAGGAATGCTATCTTCTAAAATTTAGTGTTTGGTACAGCCTGATGCCAGGTATCAGAAAGAATTTTGACAAAAAGGAAAAATTGGAATGAGTTGAGACAATCTTACCTGTTCTAGAATACTTTTAAAGGCAGCAAAACTGGATAAACTGAATAGACTATAGAGTTGTTCAATGTGTATACCTAGGGACAATCAATGACCTCACTAAAGTCATTTACTTTGTGAGTTGATGGCAGAACTCGTGGAAAATTGAGATCTATTGATTCCTCATCCAATTCATGGCCTCATATATTTTCCCAAATAATGTTAATGAGCCTAGCATATAAATTGGTATATAGTTTCCAATGCAGAGAATAAGATTATTTTGAGAGGAAAACTTTTGATTTGACCGACAGATCTGGGTCTTTCTTTACCTTTTTATGCTCCAAATTTATAAATCTAAAATTGCCTAGAAAATCCTGAAGAAGTATGTATCACATATATAGGAAGATGTGGTGATATCTGATAGGGAGGTAATGTCTACATCACAAAAATGAATGCTACCTACCAAAGAGGTGGTTTTCCCAGATTTTGATTTAACCATAGCCTGAGTCTCATCATTTTTCCAAATATAAAAAATGCTAATACAAAATGTATATACATTAAATCATGTCAATCATTATAATTGATTATAACTGATTATAATCATCATAATCAATTATAACTGATTCATTATAGCATATAAATGCATTTTTTACTGTCACTGGAAAACAGAAAATGACCTTTTTTTCAGGCACAAGGGAGAGTTTTCTGTGGCTCTTGACTGTAACAACCCAGACATGAAACCCTAAATATTTTCTATTTAACTTGGAAAAAAAGGTTACAAAGTAGACCCTTGAATGAGTTTATGAACAGGAAATATGACCAGTTAAAATCTTAAGTTGCTATTGATGACTGGTTTTCCATCTTGGTCCTAACTGGAAATCTTCCTAGATCTTGCTGAGGAACAAAAGAATAAACTGCATCCCTGAAACTTCATCACCTCTCTTAGGCCAAGGGCTGACATTTAATACAAGTGTACTTCCTTTACATAATGACTATGTTCTTGAAGTATATACAAATGACATTTTTTAAAAGCCAAGTAATAGTTTTAAGAAAAGTGCACACTATAAAGACATCTTTGGCAAATCTATTTTCTCATAATTGCTCTTTAAAGCTGAACTTAAATATCCTCAACATTTTTATTACTTATATACTGTATAACTTGAAGGAGTTGAAGTGTTAATTAGGTTGGTGCAAAAGTAATTGTGGTTTTTGCCTTTTTTTAAATGGTAAAAATGGCAAATATCACTATTACTTTTGCACCAACCCAATACTTTGTTTGCCTTTTAGTGACTGACACTGTGAGGGAAACAAAAATGAATAATAGTGCTTATCATATAAACATAGCTGGAAGATGGCTCAAATAATAACAATGACTACATAGAGGAAGTGACAGTTAAAGTGCATGCAAGTTATTCAACAAAGTCGAATATTCAGACCAGCATCCTATATATAGTGCTATGCTATGCTGTATATGAGAAAATTCATGCTGCTTGTCTCCCCTAACTTTTCATGTTTCACAGGTATGTATTTTTTTGATTGCTTATTATGGACCAGACAAAAGCACATGAGATGGGGACTGATAAGGAAAGAGAGAATGTAAATGTGGAGGGGAGACAAATGTAAGCAATAATATTCAGTTTAGCCCAGTGTGATAAAAGCGATGTGTGTACTATTCCTACAATTTTTTTTTCTTTGAGACAGAGTCTGGCTTTGTCAGCCAGGCTGGAGTGCAATGGTGAGATCTCGGTTCTCTGAAATCGCCTCCCGGGTTCAAGCGTTTCTCCTGCCTCAGCCTCCCGAGTAGCTGGGACTACAGGCGCGTGCCACCACGCCCAGCTAATTTTTGTATTTTTAGTAGAGATGGGGTTTCACCATTTTGGCCAGGATGGTTTCGATCTCTTGACCTTGTGATCTGCCCGCCTCGGCCTCCCAAAGTGCTGGGATTACAGGCGTGAGCCACCGTGCCCGGCCCTATTCCTATAATTTTAGTTGCTCTTTATCCGACTTAATTGTACTTAAAATGAGGTACTTTTTGCTAGCAACTAAACATAGAGAAGGGCCTAGGATACCAAATAGATAAGGAGTAGAAAATATTATGTGAGAATTTGTGTTAAATAGTTCAGATAACAGTAATGATCTCTAGAAAACTTGCAAGACATGAGAAGAGTCATTTGAGCTTGATTTTATACATTGAGAGTGAGATGAAATAGAATTGTTGCC